TAATATTTTTATTATATTGACCTTTCAGCTCTGCCTGGCTAACATTACAGAAGTTACAATGATGCGGCACACGTGCTCTCATGTTACAGTATCCAATAATATAAAACTGACCTTTCGTCTTTACAAAGTGACCTTTCTTGGCTGTGTTTTAGTTGACTAGTATTTTGTAAAATACAGTCACATTTCAATTATTATACATTATATTATTACTATTTAAAAATAAGTTCTTAAACTTATTTTTCTTAAAACATAGAACAGTACATAAAGAAATAAAGTAAACAATTATCTCTTCTAGTTTTGACCTTTGTACTCAGTTGCTGCTTGATGTAGGTTTAAAAATTTTGCACGTGGTGAATATGAAAAGAAATTTTTTTTAAGGTTATATATATACAGTTAAAGAACCAAAAAATCGTAAATTCCTATATTAATACCATGTAATTCCACTATAATTTATCAAGCTTAGTAACTAACTGTACTTGGGTCTAAAAAAAATATGAAATTTCGAGCAGACACAACCAACCTCCTTGAAATCTTGGTTGGAAAGAATGAGATGGCATCCTAACACATGAAAATGGCTTAGAAAGCCACTAGAGGGACATTCGGTGCTTTCAATTAGTTATTCACATCATATATTGAAGTAAGTGTATATAAGGGACTGTTTCCAAAAATGGAAAGAGGTGAGCAGTGCCACTGTGTTTGATTCAGTACGAGTGATAGATATTTCAGCAAATAGAAAAGATACGAGGTTCTTATTTTATATTCTAGCTTGTCAATATCGGTAATTTGAGTTCATAATTCATACGAAACTATAGACTTAGTATTTTAATGTGAACCAGTGCTGCATTCAACATATCATGTGACACACACAAAAATCAATGTTTAACTGTGTTTTTTTAATATTTACTTTTAAATTAAGAAATTAAATAATGTATAATCCTAAAACTTGAATTATAATCTACAGTTTAATACCAAGCTTATTGATACAAATAATACATAAATTCATGAAATAGTAGTTCAATAAAATTTTGAATGTGAGTCAACAAACGAAATGACATGGCCTTTCACCCGTAATCCGTCTCAAAATATTTCCTGTACGATATATTTTCCTAGAAGTTGAGGATTCTGTTTTCTGACTGGTTCTTCTTTCTAATCTATTGTTTCTGATGATAAACTCTTTAATAAGTTTTCTGTTGTTTATTTC